CTGTCTCAAAAAAAAAAAATCATATATAAAGGAACTGTAAAATTGTGGTGGATATTTTAGGTGGTCCCTGTGGCCCCTACCCCTTGGTGTTCACAACCTATAATCCCCTCTCCTTCAGTGTGGCCAGGACTTGTGACTTGCTTCTAAGCAGTAGAATATGGCACAAGAATGCAATGTGATTACATTATGGGACATAAGACTCCATCTTGCTAGCAGACTTACTCTAGAGTCTCCTTCTCCCATGCTGGCTATGAAGAAGTAAGCTACCATGAAGCAGAAACCCACAATGCAGAGAACTCAAAGAGCTCAGGGCAGACTGTCCTACCACTGTATGGGTTCTGCCAACAACCTGAAAGAGCTGAGAAATCTTCCCCAGCTGGGCCTCTGATGAAATTGTAACGCCAGCCAACACCTAGACTGCAGTCTACTGAGACCCTGAGGCAGAAAACCTAGCTAAGCCAGGCCCGAACTCCCTAACCCACAGTAACTAGGAGATAATAAATGCAAAAAAGCCATTAAATTTATAATGTTATGCATTATTAGATAATATCAGATAACTAACACACGTATTAAATAAAAAGATGTATTCGCACAGCCAAACCTCTGGTACTCACTCTTAACAATTTCTTGTTTCTATTTTAGTACACCTTGCCACCTCAACTCCTACTGTCTGAAATGTTATCAAGTCTCTACTCTGACCTGTGCCTGCCCGGAGGGTTCTCATGAAAGGAATCTCTGTACAATCCAAGTAAAGCAAAGAATAGCACCTGACTTATCTCAAAGTTTCAACACAAGACAGTATATAATTAGGGTTCAACTGTACATACCTGAAGGCCACATGTCCCAAACAATATGCATTAGCTCCTTCCTCTTACAACTCTTTTCCTGACTTCTTCTCTAAGTCCAGGACATCACCATCAGTAACTTGTATTAATTCTTCACTTCCTCACACACTAGACATTCAGTGACCACCTCCTCTTGGCTCTACAAATATCTCTTAAATTGAATCTCTCATCTCCATCTCTATACTTCAACATCCTCCTTCTCTCTCTCTCTCTCACAAACACACACACACACACACACACACACACAGTGATGATATGGTTTGGCTGTGTCCCCACCCAAATCTCATCTTGAATTGTAGCTCCCATAGTCCCCCACATCATGGGAGGGACCTGGTGGGAAGCAAATGAATCATGGGGGCAGGTTTTCTCATGCTGTTCTCATAACAGTGAATCAGTCTCATGAGGTCTGATGGTTTGATAAAGCGCAGTTCCCCTACACATGCTCGCTTGCCTGCCACCATGTAAGACATACCTTTGCTCTGCCTTTGCCTTCCACCATGATTGTGAGGCCTCCCCAGCTATGTGGAATTGTGAGTCCATTAAACCTCTTTTTTTAATTAATAAATTAGTCTTGGGTATTTCTTCATAGCAGTATGAAAATGGCCTGATACAGTAAATTGGTATTGGTAGAGTGGGATAATCCTATAAGGATACCTGGAAATGTGGAAATGACTTTGGAACTGGGTAGCAGGCAGAGGTTGGAACAGTTTGGAGTGCTCAGAAGGAGACAGGAAAATGTGGGAAGGTTTAGAACTTCCTAGAGACTTGGGAGGGCTTAGAAGACAGGAAGACGTGGAAGTTTGGAATTTCCTGTTGAATGGTTTTGACCAAAAAGCCCAGACTGAGGTGGTCTCAGATGGAGATGAGGAACTCATTGGGAACTGAAGCAAAGATGATTCTTGCTATGCTTTAGCAAAGAGGGCAGCATTGTGCCACTGCCCTAGAGATCTGTGGAACTTTGAACTTGAGAGAGATGATTTAGGGTATCTGGCAGAAGAAATTTCTAAGCAGCAAAGCATTCAAGAAGTGACTTGGGTGCTCTTAAAAGCATTCACTTTTATGTATTCACAAAGATATGAATTGGAACTTATGTTTAAAGGGAAGCAGAGCATAAAAGTTCAGAGAATTTGCATCCTGACGATGTGATAGAAAAGAAAATCCCATTTTCTGAAGAGAAAATCAAGCTGGCTGCAGAAATTTGTGTAAGTAATGAGGAGCCAAATGTTAATCACCAAGACAATGGGGAAAATGTTGCCAGGGCATGTCAGAGGTCTTCCCAGCAGCCCCTCCCATCACATGCCCAGATGCCTAGAAGGAAAAATGGTTTCCTGGCCTGGGCCCAGGGCCTTGCTGCTTTGTGCAGTCTCAGGACTTGGTGCTCTGCGTACCAGTGTGGCTTAAAGGGGCCAAGGTATAGCTCAGGCTGTTGCTTCAGAAAGTGCAAACCCCAAGCCTTGGCAGCTTAGATGTGGTGTTGGGCCAGTGGAAGCACAGATGTCAAGAATTGAGGTTTGGGAACCTCCTTCTAGATTTCAGAGGATGTATGGAAAAACCTGGATGTCCAGGCAGAAGTCTTCTGCAGGGGTGGAGCCCTCATGAAGAACCTCTACTAGGGCAGTGTGGAAAGGAAATATGGGGTGTGAGACCCCACACATAGCCACTGGGACACTGCTTAGTAGAGCTGTGAGAAGAGGGCTACCATCCTTCAGAACCCAGAATAGCAGATATATTGACAGCTTGCACTGTGTGCATGGAAAAGCTGTAGACACTCAACACCAACCCATGAAAACAGCCAGGAAGTGGACTGCACCCTGTAAAGCCACATGAGTGGAACTGCCCAATATAATGGAAATCTACCCCTTGCATCAGCATGCCCTGGATGTGAGACATGGAGTCAAAGGAGATCATTTCAGAGCTTTAAGATTTGACTGTCCTATTGGATTTTGGACTTGCATGGGGCCTGTAGCCCCTTTGTTTTGGCCAATTTCTCCCATTTTGAATGGGTATATTTACCCAATGCCTGTACCCCCACTGTATCTAAGAAGTAACTAACTTTCTTTTGATTTTATGGGTTCACAAGTAGAAGGGATTTGCCTTGTTTTAGATGAGACTTTGGACTGTGGACTTTTGAAGTAATGCTGAAATGAGTTAAGACTTTGGGGGACTATTGGGAAGGCATGATTGGTTTTGAAATGTGAGGACATAAGGTTTTAGAGGGGTCAGGGGTGGAATGATATGGTTTACCTATGTCCCACCCAAATCTCACCTTGAATTGTAGCTCCCATAATCCTCACATGTCATGGGAGGGACCTGGTGGGAAGTAATTGAATCATGGTGGGCAGGTTCTCTCATGCTGTTCTCATGATGGTGAATAAAGTCTCATGAGATCTGATGAGTTGATAAAAGGTGGTTCCCCTGCACATGCTCTCTTGCTTTCCACCATGTAAGACATGGCTTTGCTCTGCCTTCGCCTTCCACCATGATTGTGAGGCCTCCCCAGTCATGTGGAATTGTGAGTCCATTAAACCTCTTTTTTTGTTGTTTTAATAAATTACCCAGTCTTTGGTATTTCTTCATAGCAGTATGAAAATAAATTAATACAAGTGAATTGCAACTGCCTTGGAACTGGTCTCCCTGACGCTATTCTCTCTCTCTCAATACATGTGCCATCAGAAAATTCTGTCCTAAAACACAAACAAGATCGCATTATTCCCCCCTTAAAAACACAAATGGTTCCTTTTTCCCAGTAAAATAATAAAGTCTAAATATCTTACTATGCTACAGAGGACTTCACAGTCAGCCCTCACCTTTTCAGCATTCTTAGTTCCATCTAGCCTAGCCAACTACTCAATGCTCCCCAAGTTTCCAGTTTCCTGAAAACTTCCTTACTTGTTGCTCACTTTGTTGTCTCTTCCCTCAACGTCCATCTCTACTTCTCTCTCAGAAAAACTTCTATTTATCTCTTGGATCCCAGCTCAACTGTTAACAATCTCTGGGATGCCTTCTCTTAATGAATGGTCAGTTACTTCCCCCTCCTTTGTGTTCCAAAGTACTTAGAAAATACCTCCATTATTCTACTTATCAGATTACATGATTGATTACTGTCCGTTTGCATGTCAGTTTCCATCACTAGACCAAGAGATCCTTGAACACTAGAAGTATCTTTAGTCACCAAGTGCCAGGTACTGTGATGAGTTGTAGGAATAATGATTTCAATACTATTTATCAAGACCTAATAAGTGAGAGGCACTATGCTAAGTTGCTAAACGTCTTATCCATTCACTAAAGTAAAGTAAGTTCCATAATCATTTACATACTTAGTAAGATGCCTAGCTGAAGAGATATAGCTAGGCACCTACTAGGTATATAAATGATCATGGAACCTACTTTACAGTATAGGGAGATAAAGAACACAGAAACAAACTAAATAACATAATTTCAGATACTGATAATGCAAAGAAGTCAATAAAAATAGGACAAAGTAAAGGAATGACTGGGGTGAGAGAGGAACTATTTAATACAGGAGGATCTGGTAAAGCCTCTGAGAAGATGGCATTTGAGCTAAGATTTAACTGACAAAGAGGCACCCACACAGAGAATAAGTGATTACATGTAATTCTCATAACACCCTTTCTAAGTAGACTTTTTATCCCCATTTGCAAGATGGGGAAAGTAAAGTCGAAGTTTGCTGATCTGCTAAGGTCACAAGCCCAACACACAGCCAGGACTAGAACCCAGGTCTGCCTGACTCTGAGCTAAAGCTTTTCACCATTGGACTGCTCTGTCTCCCGGGTGCTGGCCTCTGCTCACTCCATTCCCTCTGGCTGAAATGCCCCTCTTCTCCTCAGCCCTGAAATTCCTCCTCCTCCTCTGACAACCAACAAGTCAACTTCTCTGAGAAGTTTGCCCTGATAACGTCAACAGGAAAAGAGCATCTCCCTCCTCCAAACATTTCCTACCCTTTGCATCCTCTCAGGAAAACTATCTCCTGGTGGAAGTAAGTATGTACACTGCTTCCTTGCTAAAGTAGCGTCCATCTAATATGCCTGGTATATCCCATGACATTTCCCAAACCCCGAGCCTACATGAACCCTTGCTCTCAACATCCACAGGATAAATGAAAAGCAAGTAAATAAGTAAATGAAGTCCAGTGGACTTGGCCTTCCAAGTCTCACCAGGATCTAGCATTGAAGTGGGATGCAACCATCAGGGCTGTTTCCGAACAAAATGTCCAAGGAGAGCCAAGAAAATGAAGCAGGACAACAAAAAAATCTTAATGAGATAGCTGAAGGCACACTAACCTGCTTTAAGTTGGCTTTTCATAAGCTGTGTCTGTGTTCCCTCCCCACAGTCAAAGAGCCAGCACTCGCCTTCACACCGAAGGACCACAGCAGAGGCACCCCGGGTTGGAGATGGATATGCTGCACCCGTCCCCAGAAATGTCACATCCATAGACATCTTCCACCCTGCAACAGAAAGATCATCTGCGGATTATTTCATATCACTGCATCAAAAACACATTCCTGTAATATTTATCACTATTATTACTTTTTGGTTATTTAGAAGTCTGGATTCTTGTTCTCTCATAGTATTCCACACATATCCACAGTAAGATTTTAAATAACTTGGCAAAACTACAAGTTAACAAATCTTGTATAATTGTTCACACACCCAAACAAACAAAAATAACCAAACCCAGGCAATTAAAAACTATAGTTGAATTTTAACTATGTGATGTTCTCAAAAAGGCAAAACTATGGAGACAGTAAAAAGAATAGCCCTTGCTAGTGATACAGGGGGAGGGAAGGAAGAATGAACAAGTGGAGCACAGGGGATGTTTAGGACAGTGAAACGATTCTGTATGATATAGTAAGACAGACATACATCATTATACATTGGTCAATTGTATACAGAATGAACAACACTAGAGTGAATGAGTTCAATGTAAACTTTAGTTGACAGTGTATCAATATTGGCTCATCAACTGTAACATGTAGCACATTTTTCTTTTTTTTTTTCATGAGTCCTTAAGCTTCTGAACATGTACCACATTAATTTAAGATGTTAATACAAGGGAAACTGAGGGGTGAGAGATAAGAGAATATATGGGAACTCTCTGTACTCTCTACTTATTAACTATAAAATAAAATTCCTTCTAATAAACACTAAACAACAACAACTCTAGCTGAGATACTGGGCAAGAGATGGTATTTAATGATGCCTACCAAATGGTGTCTCTGATGCCCATAATGATCAGCCCTTTCTCTAAACAATCATAACAGTAATGCTCTATGATGCTCTCCAGTCATGCTGATATTTTACAATAATGCTGAACAAATGTCTCACTTCCTACGTGACATGGTCCATGACTCACGAGGACTTGGGACTCTGCTATTTTAAGTGATCAGCAATCACCTGTTGAATGTGCAGGTTTATTCCAACTCCTAGCACTATTCCTTTCACTATTTCCAGGTGCATCTGACATCGCTGATATACTTATGAGATGGAAGATGTATATCAAACAGAATAAATTAGAATGAACTGAAATTTATACATAACCAATTATAGATTATCCACATTGACGTCAGGGAAGAAAACAAGCTTAAGAAAAACTACTAAAAGATAATTTGACCAACAGCTGGATATATAAGATACAAAAACTTCAATAACTCTTCTCAGTCTTAGCAATAACAAGATAAAAACAGAAATGGGGGGGGGGAAACCCATTCCAAGAGCAAAAACAAAATTACCAGAAATAAAGTTAGCAGAAAAGGAACAGCACCCAAAAGATTCATACAAATAAGAGATACACATTACGTCCTTGATAGGATGACTTGAAATCACAGAGATGTTCATCTTTCCTAAGCTAATGTAGATATATTTGGTGCAAATTCTATCCGATTTCCAGTGGGATTTATTTTGGAACAGAAACAATCCAAAAATCATACGGAAGAAAAAATAAATGTCTGAGAAGGGGCAAGAAAATTCCAAAACGCAGTGAGTAGTGACCTGCCTTTCTAGGTATTAACATTTACTACAGCAATCTGACATAATTAAAACAGAATAGGCCGGGCACGAAGGCTCATGCCTGTAATCCCAGCACTTTGGGAGGCTGAGGTGGGTGGATCACCTGAGGTCAGGAGTTTGAGACCAGCCTGGCCAAGATGGTGAAACCCTGTCTCTACTAAAAATACAAAAATTAGTCGGGCATGCTGGCACACACCTGTAATCCCATATACTCAGGAGGCTGAGGCAGGAGAATCGCTTGAATCTGGGAGGCAGCAGTTGTAGTGAGTCAAGATTGTGCAATTGCACTCTAGCCTGGGTGACAGAGTGAGACTCTGTCTCAATAAATAAATAAATAAATAAAACAGAATAATATTGGCACAAAAATAGAGATAAAAGGGAAGGGAAAGTTCAGAAATAAACCAACTACCTATTGGAATCAATACAGTATACAACGAAGGTGTAAAAAGTGTGGTTTCTTTAATGAATGGGACTGACATAATTGGCTGTTACCAGCAGAAAAAAGCAAAGCAAGATGCTCACTTTGCATTGTATATAAAAACACATTTCAAATAGTTAAGAAATTTCAATGTAAAAAATCCAATAACATGTTCAAAAGAATTAGGAGAATGTTTACACCTTTAACTGTGGAGATGGGAAGCCCTTATTGGCAAGACATAAAATCCAGAAATTTTAAAAACAGACATTTTAACTAAATAAAATCTTTTATACATATCAAGACTCATAAAGTCAAAGGACAAGGAAAAAAAACCTGAAAAAAATAGTTTGGACCCCCTTATGAGAGGGGGTTAATGCTCCTAAAAAAAAGTTTATGCAAATGCATTCAAAATACAAAAATACTGGTGCAACAGAAAACCAGGCAAAGGATATATATACACATACACATGAGCGCGCACACACACACACATATATATGAATCACAGAAGAAATCCAAATGGCCTATAAGCATGAAAAAGGTTCAAACAACTATCATGTATCAATTTAAAAAATTAACAGTAATAAATAAAAGATAAGGGTTCAGTCTTCAGTTAGTTAGTGGAATGCAAAATAAAGAAAAAAGAGGCTGGGTGCAGTAGCTCATGCCTATAATCCCAGCACTTTGGGAGGCAGCGGTGGGTGGATCGCTTGAGCCCAGGAGTTTGAGACCAGCCTAGGCAACATAGTGAGACCTTGTCTCTACAAAAAAATTAAAAACAAGTATCAGCTGGACATGGAGGCATGTGCTTGTAGTCCCAGCTTGTCAGGAGGCCGAGGCAGGAGGATCATTGGAACCTGGAAGGTTAAGGCTGCAGTGAGCTGTGATCTCACTGCTGCACTCAAGCCTGGGTGACAGAACAAGACAGAACAAGAACACTCTCACAACAAACAAAAAAAGCGACCATTTACCACACATCAGTTGGCAGGCAAGTATCAATGGAGCAATGCTAGCCAGTGCTAACCAGGATGAGGGTAAATGGGTACTGTCACAAACTAATGGTGACAAAGTTATGAATTGTGATTATGCTTTGGGAGAATAATTTGGCAATATATATTACCAGTGATAAGGATGCTGTTGATAATTATATGCTTTCACCCAGCAATTCCCATTTTTCAGAATCTACCCAAATAATAAAGATCTATGTACAATGACGCATATTGTGGTGGTCTCAAGTTGGCTAAAATATGGAAGCAATCTAAATATGTCAATAGGAAAATGGCTGAATATTTTATTGTACATTTGTACTATTGTTTATTCTATCAACTATTTATTCTGCAGCTAATAAAGTCTTCCGTAACTACTGTCATGGAGGGATGACAGAGAAAAGTTACAGACGGCTATGGCATGATATCATTTTTATAACAATACCCCAAACCCCTACATTTATGTAAGACAGAGGAAGTCTGATGTGGGAGAGGATACACACCATCCTGTTAATATGGGTTATTTCAGGGGTGATTAAAGTGATGGGGTGGGGGCTACATGGGGGATTAACTTTTCTTTTAAATCTTTGGATTATGTTTTAATAAGTGGCATTTTATTTAATTTTTTAAAAATTTATATTTACTTAACGCTGATTTTTTTTTTTTTTTTTTTGGAAATGTGTCATACGCCCAAACATGCTTCTCTAACTACACGCCATCTAGTCTTCCTTTCCATTTTGGGAAACAGCTCCTCCCCATATTTCCTGGCCCCAACCGTCATACATAAGGTGGTGCATCTCTACCTTAAGCATAGCCTTGAGGTTATTGCTAATATCCCTTCCATGTGTTACTCTACATTTTCACCTCCAAGATCAAGTCTTCCTCTGATAATAAAGGAGCTTTATTTGCAGAGGCTTCTTTATTGATTTGCAAGATAGGTAAGAATAAATAGAACGCAGAAAGTTAACATTTGTAAAGGTAAATGAACTGCAGAAGGAATAATAGAATATAATCACTTTGTCATCCCTAACAAATAATGGATTTAGATCAGTAGTACATAACACCGGGGGCATATTAGAATCACCTGGAGAGCTTTTAAAACATATCAGTGAAAGTATGGTGGCTCATGCTTGTAAACTCAGCATTTTGGCAGGGTAGCTTGAGGCCAGGAGTTCAAGACCAGCCTGGGAAACACAGCAAGACTCTGTCTCTATAAAAAATTAGCCGGGCATGGTGGTATACACCTGTAGTCCCAAACAAAACAAAACACCATATCAATAATTGGGCTTCATCCCAGAACATTTAGATAGGAAATTCTGCAAGTGAGACATGTTTATTAAAAAATAAAAAATAAAAAAAAATAAAAAGCCTTCTCCTGTGATCCTAACATGGAGTCAGATTTGAGAACCACTAAGTGAAAAGGTTAACAGAGAACTGCAATGGATGGATCAGGTTGATCTAAACTCACCAACTAATCAATCTTTTTAAAAGAAGTTTTATTCTGAAAAACTTCAGACACATATAGAAGTAGAAATTAGCATAATGCAATGCCACACACCCATCATCGAACTTCAACAATTGTTAACTCATAGGCAATCATGTTTCATCTATACACACCAACCCCATTACTCCAAGAATACTTGATAAGACAAACGTGTGCTGTCCGATGGAAGCACCCCATTAGGCAGCATGCATTGTCTAGCTGTCTCTCTTTCTGATGTTAACAGCCACTAGTGATCATTGCCAGAATCCATTATTTCATTAGAGGTTGCCAAAAGGTGATAAGTGTCTCATTTCTTTTGTATGTATTTGCTGGCATTCCCTGGTCAACTGTTACCCTATGATGCTAAAAGGTCCACAAAGAGGCAAGATGCTCTCTAGCTCCTGGCGTGATACAATGTGAAAAACACAGTAATCCCCCATTAAGCTCGCTTACCAAAAAATAGAACCTGACCTGAACAAGGCTGCAGGTCTAAATATCTGCTTATTAAAGGAGATGGAAAAAGCAAAATCCTGGATGTAGAAAACGTGAACCGTACAAATGACTTGTTCTTCAAGTAAAATACGGAGAACAAAATAGACACAGAGGGGAAAAGATTAAGAGAGATCTAACAGACATCAACCAAATGGAACGTGTGTAGTTTGTTTGGATACTGATTTGGACAAACCGGGGAAGAGGAGAAAGACAACTAAGAAAATGTAAATGCTGACTGGATAGTAGGGGGTAAAATGAGGTGCTAATCACACTGATAACGGCTTTATGTTTTAAAAGGTGTCATTGTGTCTTATAAACATGAACAAGATAACAGATGGAATGTTACATTTCAGATTTGCTTTCAAATACTACAGTGGGGGAGAGGGTAACAGATGAAACAGGATTGCTCATGAATTGGAAGTTCAGTATACTATTCAATTTTCATATATGACTTGAAGGTTTCCATAATAATTTAAAACAAATATAATGAAAACCCTCCAAACAGGTCGGGAAATAATTAGAAATTATTTCAACAATGGTGCATGTTTTGGGACATGCACCATTCTAGGCACTAGGAATTAAACGCGAGCAAACCAGATTAGGTCCCTATCTTCTTGGACAAAAAACAAAAACAAAAACCCAGCTGCTTGCTTTCTCAAGACTGTGATCCACATTCGGCGAAGTGCATATTCCAGTCGTGATCACAGTACTGTCATTTCACTCTGGGCCCGTGGATCTCGGTCCTGGCCACAGATCACAATTCCCCGGTGATGATGGGGCATCAGCATTTGGAGGCTTCCCAAACGATTCTACTGGCTGCCGGGTTGAGAACCAGAGCTCCTTCGTTTTCAGACAGGCAGTGTCAACCCTGCAATCACCCTGCGTTGTGCATAGGGCAGATACCGCCGTCCTCCATCTTAGAGCTGAAAGAACCGGGGCCGGGAGGCGGAAAGTGAGAGGCCGAGGTACAGGCAGGGCCAGAGGCCAGATTTCCGCCTCTAGAGAGCTCAGGCTCCCCCATGAGACCGCGTTAGCCTCGAAAAAGGTGGGGTGGGCGGCGGCGCCGGGCGGCCGAGGCTCCGGCCCGGGGCGGTGAACGAGGCGCGTCCTCGCTCCCGGGCGCTCCCCAGGCTTAGGTCCCCGGCGCCGGGCCGGGCCTGGTCGAGCCGGCGAGTCCCGAGGAAGCGCGCCCGCCCCCCTCTGGCATGCCCACCGCACTCACCCTCGAGGCCCGCGCCAGCAGCCGAGGGAGGCGCAAGCCCGCACCCTGGCCCAACCGTCCGCGGGGCTGCAATGCGCCCTGGCGGAAGTGCGCCGCCGGCCGGGTCCCGCGCGGCCGCTCTAGGATGCGAGGGATGTCCGCGCTCGGTGGCACCCGCCCGGGGCCTGGCTTTGGGCGCGCTTCCGGGCTTCCCCTGGGCAGCGAGGGCAGTGTCTGCGTTTACCTCCTTCCCAGGTCGCTGTGTGTCAGGTGGTGACGGTCGACCTGAGGAACAGAGCGGGCTAAACCAAAAGGGAAAAAGTGACTCTTCTTTTGTTTTCTGTGTAATATTTTCCACACAGGAGTGTTCTTCCTGATGTTTTGCTCATATGTGTCGTTTTTGGTCTTTGGTTGGGAGGAATCTTTACTGTCTTTCATCCACTAAGATCCTTTGCCTGACCATTCACCTTCATAAAGCCCCATCCATATTCCATTTTCCTACTCCAGGTTGGAATATTTGCTTAACATCTGAAGCTGATTGTACCGTACTCACTCCAAGCCTTGCAGACGTGTTCTCTTAGGTAGTGGACGTGGGATTGAAAAAGCCCAGGATGGCCGTATACAGAACGGGCACGTGGCGATTATAGATCACAGGGAAAAACTCCTTCAGTTTGAATAACAACTTTAAAAAAAGTATTTCAGTCTCCTATGTACTGCCAGATACACTGATTTCGTGCTCAGTATACCTGAAGTGGTCAAAATATCCAGCAGCTGGCTGGGCGCTGTGGCTCACGCCTGTAGTCTCAGCACTTTGGGAGGCCAAGGTGGGCGGATTGCCTGAGCTCAGGAGTTCGAGACCAACCTGGCCAACATGGCAAAACCTCGTCTCTACTAAAAATACAAAACAAGGAAAAAAAAAATTATCCGGGCATGGAGGCACACGCCTGTAGTCCCAGCTACGCGGGAGTCTTAGGCACGAGAATTGCTTGAACCTGGGAGGTGGAGGTTGCGGTGAGCCAAGATCGCACCACTGCCTTCCAGCCTGGGCGACAGAGCAAGACTCTGTCTAAAAAACAAAAAAAAACCCAAAAAACAAACAAAAAAAAAATCCAGCGGCTTCAAAATAGGAATCGGAGTGGGGTTTTTTGAAACTACCAGGACAGAGAGACCAGCACTTTTTAAAAAATCATTAATTGATCTACTTATTGGACTCTTTCAACCTTTATTCAAATATTAATGGAGCTCTGACTTTGTGGATAGTATTATTTTTGGTGCTGAGAGATTTTTAAAATTTGTCATGGTCCCTGGTTTTGGGGTTTGTTTGTTTTTGAGACAGGGTCTCACTCTATCACCGCGGTTGGAGTGCAGTGACGCGATCTCAGCTCACTGCAACCTCTGACTCCTGGGCTCAACCAATCCTCCCACCTCGGCTTCCCAAGTGTTCGTAGCTGGGACTACAGGACTACAACCTCCCAAGTAGCTGGCACTACAGGCAAGTCACCACACCCAGCTAATTTTTTTTTTTTTTTAAGATGAGGTTTCACTATGTTGCCCAGGCTGGTCTCAAACTCCTAAAGTCAAGCGATCCACCAGCTTCAGTGTCCCAAAGTGCTGGGATTACAGGCGTGAGCCACCGTGCCCTGCCAGTCCCTGGTTTTAAGGAGCCTATACTCAGGTTGGCAAAAGTTGTCAGGAAACAATCCACTGAAAAGGATATGGAAAAAGGGAGATCACTAGCTAAGAGATCAGTGAGGAAGAGGTAGAATTTGAGCTGGGTCTTGTAGGATGGATGACACTCGAATTAATGTGGAAATGAAAAAAATAAAATGGACTTGGTCAAGTGGGGTCTAAATTAGCAAAGCATTGAACACTGGAACTTGAACTTATCTATCCTGACACTGGCCTAGCTAAAAGTTCCTTAAGAAGACACATAGCATTCTACAGCTTGATCTTGATCACAATCAGCTAGGACAGCAGTCCCCAACTTTTTTGGCACCACAGACCAGTTTCATGGAAGACAATCTTTCCTTGGGGGCAGGGGGTGGGGGATACAGTTTAGGGGTGAAAGTGTTCCATCTCAGATCATCAGGCATTAGATTCTCATAAGGAGCATGCAACCTAGATCCCTTACATGTACAATTCACAATAGGGTTCACGCTTCTGTGAGAATCTGATGCCCCGGCTGATCTGACAGGAGGCAGAGCTCAGGCGGTAATGCTTGCTGGCCTGCCGCTCACCTTCTGCTGTGTGGACCAGTTCCTAACAGGCCGCAGACCTGTACTGGTCTGCAGCCCAGGGCTGAAGACTCCTGAGCTAGGGGTCTCCCAGAGCAGTATTCTCCATAGACCTGGCTAGGACTTATTTCTGCCCAGCCATCAAAGCTTCCTACTCCCTTCTCGGAGGTTATTATACTTTTAGAGAATAGTGGATAGAACTATTTGTTCATTTAAAAAATTTTCTATTGTGGGAAATTTCAAACATATAAAAGTTGAGAAAATTATGAATGAACCTTTATATACAATCATCACTTAGCTTCAACAGTTAGAAACATCTGATCCATCTTGTTTCACCTATTATTCCTCTGTATTAGTCCATTTACATTGCTGTAAAAAATACCTGAGACTGGGTAATTTATAAAGAAAAGAAGTTTATTTTGGCCCCCAGTTTTGCAGGCTGTACAGGAAGTGTGCTGCCGGCATCTGCTTCTGGTGAGGGCCTCAGGAAGCTTACAATCATGGCAAGATAAAGAGGGAGTAGGCATGTCACATAGTAAGACAGCGAGGAGGAAGGGCCAGGCTTCTTTTAAATAACCAGCTCCCCAGTGAACTAATAGAGTGAGAACTCAGACGTCACCAAGGGGATGTCACTAAGCCATTCATGAAGGATGCACCCCCGTGATCTGACACCTCCCTCTAAGCCCCACCTCCAACACTGGGGATCACATTTCAACATGAGATTTGGAGAGGACAACCATCCACAGTATCCCCCTCTCTCTCCAAAGGCAACAACAACAACAGTAACAAAACCCTGGATTCTTTTTGGGCAAATTCCAGGCAAAATATCATTTTGTTCATAAATACCTCTATGAGCATTTAAGGACCCTTTTGAAAAATCTCATCACTATATAATGATGGTGAGCATTTTAGTATGTAAATATATGTAAAACATAAGAACTTTAAGAATAGAACCATAATATCATTATATTGTAAAAATAAGAAAATAATTATTTAATATCATCAAATATCCAGTGACTGTTCAAATTTTCCTAATCATCTTATAACTTTTTTAATTTTTAAAATTCTTTTTTTTTTAATTTTTATTGGTCCACAGTAAGTGTATATATTTATGAGGTACATGAGATATTTTGATACAGGCATACATTGGGTAATAATCACATCAGGGTAAATGGGATTTTACCCTGTTCTGTAATGTTTTGTCATTACTTTCTTTTTTTTTCTGAGATGAAGCCTTGCTCTGTCACCCAGGCTGGAGTGCAGTGGTGCGATCTCGGCTCACTGCAACTTCCATCTCCTGGGTTCAAGCGATTTTCCTGCCTCAGCCTCCCGACTAGCTGGGATTACAGGTGCAAACCACTACACCCAGCTAATTTTTTTGTATTTTAAGTAGAGACAAGGTTTCACTGTGTTGGCCAGGCTGGTCTTGAACTCCTGACCTCAGGTGATCCACCTGCCTTGGCCTCCGAGGCATGAGCCACCCTCCTTGGCTCTCAGGCGTGAGCCACCGCGCCTGGCCGTCATTACTTTTAATGTCAAAAACCACAATTACTTTTGTAGCAACCTAATAATTTACATTCCCCCCAACAGTGTATAAGGGTTCCTCTTTTGCATATCCTTGCCAGCATTCATTATTGCCTTTCTTGAGGATAGAAGCAATTTGAACTGGGGTTAGATGATATCTTATTGTAGTTTTGATTTGCATTTCTCTAATGATCAATGATGTTGATCACCTTTTATAGACCTCTTGACCATGTCTTCTTTTGAGAAAAGTCCTATTCAGATCTTCAGCTCATTTTTAATTGATTAGATTTTTTCCTATAGAGTTGTTTGTGTTCCTTATATATTCTGGTTATTAATACTTTGTCAGACGGGTAGTTTGCAAACATTTTCTCCCACTCTGTGGGTTTCTCTTCACTTTGTTAGTTGTTTCCTTTGCTGTGCCAGAAACTTTTTAACTTGATGTAATCTCATTTGTCCATTTTTGCTCTGGTTGCCTGTGCTTTTTGGATATTACTCAAGAACTCTTTGTCCAGATCATTGTCCTGGAGAGTGTCCTCAATGTTTTCTTTTAGTAGTTTCCATAGTTCTATGTTGGGAGCTGAAAAGGCCAAAGGGATCGTGACCAACTCAGCATTCCACTGGAGGCTATATGATCAAACAGAAAACCTTCTATCATGAATGCAGGATGTGGGCAAACTCACACTGCGCCTGCTGCCGGAAGGTTTGCTGAGGGCGGTCACTCCCTGGCACCTGGCTCCCTGAGGTTATCTGCTGGGACATCTAGAGCCTATTGTTTGAGGAATACAGTCTTGCAAGCCTACTCTGGACTGAGCAGCTGACTTTTTCTGCCACCCCACTTCTCACTATCTCTTTTACCAATAAATACTAAGGGCTGTGGAAAGCCTGGGCCCTTGTCCACTAGAGTCAAGGTGCCCCCTGACCCCTTCTTCCAAACAAACTTGTTTGTCTTTGTCTTTATTCCTGCATTCACTCTCTTTGTTCAGTCCACCAGGGATCGAGGTCGGTAGCAGTTTTAGGTCTTAAATTTAAGAACACAGTTTCAGTGTTATAATATTCTTTATTTGTCTGTGTACTTACTGTTACCAGTGAGTTTCCTACCTTCAGATGATATCTTTTTTTTTTTTTTCTTTTTTGAGACAGGGTTTCACTCCCATTGCCCAGGCTGGAGTGCAATGGTGCCATCTTGGCTCACTGCAGCCTCTGCCTCCTGGGCTCAAGCGATTCTCTGCCTCAGCTTCCCAAGTAACTGGGACTACAGCTGCACACCACCACGCCCAGCTAATTTTTGTATTTTTTGTAAAGACAAGGATTCACCATGTTGCCCAGGCTGGTCTCGAACTCCTGGGCTCAGCCTCCCACCTCAGCCTCCCATGGTGGTGT